GTATAAGTGGATACAATGTGATCTATAGAACATATAGGGGGCTACAATGTCATCTATCGGTGACTACAATGTAACATATAGAGGTATAGGGGGCTGCAATGTAATCTGTAGGGGGATATAGGTGAATACAATGTAATCTATAGAGGGACACACTGTAATCTATAGGGGGTATTGGTGGATACAATGTTATCTATAGGAGGGATAGGTGGATACAATGTTGTACCTGCAGCAGCTGCAGAGAAGAAGCGGCTCACTACTCTCCCGCAGATCATCAGTCAGTTGAAATTCGGGGCGGGACCACGTGCCCAAGGGTAGAGCCGGGGGGCGAGGCCATGTAACCAGCTCCGCGATTAGGGGCGGGGCTATGTTCTCAGATCACCGGCCGGGGGGGGGGCAAGCTATGTTACCAGCTCAGCCTCTGGGGGGGCTGGACCATATTTTCAGCCTAACAGTCAGGCGCGGCGCGATGTTTTCAGCTCTACAGTCAGGGAGTTGGTATGCCCTCAACTTGGCAGGCGGGTCCACGTGTTATTAAAGGAAGAGCTTTTAACTACGGCAACCCAGAATGTCTCCTCCATGGAGGCCATGATTCCTGAGTTTTACCCTGAGCTCTCCGCAGTGATTGGCTTCAACAAAATGGCCGACCGTCTGTAAGACATGGCCCAGTGCAGCGGACACTTTGTGGTCGGAAGCATTTTGGCACCTTTTCTGCCATGTGAATGCTGTGGGCTCAGTGTGATGACGTAATTTCGCTGTCAGCGAGCCCTGGCTGAGCAGTGTGACTTTGACCATGGTGAGTATCTGAACGAGAGAGACTTGTGTATGATTATTATTTAATTATGTTTATTTCTTTATTAGGACTGAGCATGTGAATGAGCAACTACTAATCCCAGCATGCAATGTGAGCCCCCTGTCTATGGTGAACTACAAGTCCCCCTGCCATCCTGAGATCCCGTCATCTTTGATCCCCTGTTATCCCCCTACTTATGGTGGACTACAAGTCCCAGCGTCCCCTGCCATTCTGAGATCCCACGTCTATCATGGACTACAAGTCCCATCATTTACTGTCATCCTGAGATCACTTCATCTATGAGCCCCAGCATCCCCTGTTATCCCCTACTTATGGTGGACTACAAGTCCCAACCTTCCCTCTCATCCTGAGATCCCACCGTCTATCATGGACTACAAGTCCCAGCATCCCGTTTCATCCTGTGATCCCCCTACTTATGGTGGACTACATGTTCAGGCATCCCCTGTCATCCTGTGAAACCACTATCTATGATGGACTACTGTTCCCAGTGAGCCCTCTATGGTAGACTACAAATCCCAGTGTCCTCCGTGATTCCCCCTAGCTGTGGTGGACTACAAGTCCCAGCATCCCTTGTCATCCAGATGAAATGTGATTGGGTTGCTGCACTGTGTACATCCGCACAGCTCTGTGTATGAATCCTCCGTATAGAAGTCAGCCATCTGTTCTCTCCCTCTCAGGTCTGTCAGTGACGCGGGAGGTTCTCTTCGTTGACCAATCGGCATTGTGAGTCCCCGGGGTACTGCGGTGATATGGCGGCTCTCCGGAAGACTGGCACCACCCTGAGCAGCGTCCTCTGGTAAATGGAGCGGTTGTGAGAGATCCGGCACAGCCAGATTGGAGTTATCTGGATGTGAACCCCTTCAGCTCTCCCTCTGTACCCCCACCCCCCCTTTGGGTCAGGGCCGGTGCTATATTTCTGATATGGTTATGTGGCAATAACTTCCTCACTACAAGACTGAAAGCAGCAATTATAGTTTTGGATAGAATAAGGGAGGGTTATGACCCCGTCAGCTTTTTTTTTTTGTGCCATCTGTGTCCCCTTGGGTAGATTTCACTTCCTGTCCGATATTCACAACAGGAAGTGAGAGGAAATCACTACAAAGAGAGGGACAACTAGTGTCCCCAATGGAAGATTTCCTATCTATTTCTGTTCTGGTGACTAGTTTACCAGTTTGTAAGTTACAGAAGGCTGAGCAGGGCAGTGCGGGGAGGAGAGAAGCTGCCAGGAGGCTGAGCGGTGGCAGGGCGGGGAGTAGAGAAGCTGTCAGGAGGCTGAGCGGGGCAGGGAGGAGAGTGTTGTCAGGGTCCTGAGCGGAGAGGTGTGAGGAGGAGAGAAGCTGTCAGGAGGCTGAGCGGTGCGGGAGGAAAGTGCTGTCAGGAGGCTAAGAGGGGTGGTGCGGGAGGAGAGAGCTGATAGGGGGCTAGGAGGGGCGGTGTAGGGAGGAGAGAGCTGTCGGGAGGCTGAGTGGGGCAGGCGGGGAGGAAAGTGCTGTCAGGAGGCTGAGCGGGGTGGTGTGAGGAGGATAACTCGGCTCCTCTGACAAGCAGAGCAGTCAGTATGGAGAGCGGAGCACAAACACCGAGCTGTAAGGAGGAGAGTGCTGTCAGGAGGCTGAGCGGGGTGGTGTGAGGAGGATAACTCGGCTCCTCTGACAGGCAGAGCAGTCAGTATGGAGAGCGGAGCACAAACACCGAGCAATCAGTACCAGTCACTCAGTGTTTATAAATAACTGAAGACATAGTAAGCCTACTATGTCCCCAGCTATGAATGAACAGGAAGTGCTATACATCACTTCCTGTTCATTTATGACTGGGTTCAAAGTAAATATTTACTATCTCCAGATTGTGAATGAACAGGAAGCCTCTGTACTGGGAACTTCCTGTTCACTGAGTGCCGGGGCTGCAGAAAAAAAGATGGAGGACTCTGTGACCTATAGCTATTTTAAAATGGAAATATCAGGGGTCTGTTTAGACTCAGTTGAGGTGGTACCGCGAGGGCCACCCACAGCTCGATTTTCATCTGATTTACAGGAATCGGTGAAACTTTGCGCCATGTACGGCTACTCCAGGTTACAGGGACACCGGATTTCTGGCAGGATCAAAGGCTATCTTTCTGTACCTGGTGAAAATGTTTTAGCCTTAGAAAAGAAAATGAATGCAGCCGCCACCTCTATATAATCTGCGATGTATTACATTGATGTTCCTGGGTTCGGGTGACGTTGAAGTGATCCCTGTTATGTTGCCGCGGATGGATGACAAACGCACGCTGTCATACATGAGCAATGTGGCCGCCAAATACAAAGTCCCCCGAATGTAACCTATCGGTAATTGGTATCGGCGAGTACTTGGAAAAAGTATCGGTACTCGTACTCGGCCTTGCTATCGGTGCATCCCTAGTAACCGATTCACCGCGATCCCTCTCTCTGTGCTACATTTCAGCTCTGCACGGAACGCGGCTCTCAAGCGTTCTCTCCCCGCCTCGTGCTGGCTCCACACCTCCCCCGAGCTACAGGATGCCAACAAGACCACCATTGTCCAGTGCAGCAGAACCACTTACCTGAGGACCTACCCGCTGCTACTGGTCCATCCGGACGGGTCCACCATCACCATCCACTACAAAGAGCCACGAAAACTGCTCACTGTAAGGAACATGTGACTCTGTGTATTGTATCAACTTCACTGCGGTTTATGTCAGAGCTATATCAATGTATAATAATAGTGTCATAATGGGCACAGCGGGTGTACAGACCCGGGAACTCAGCACAGGGATGGTGGGAGCCCCTCATAATGGGCACAGCGGGTGTACAGAGCCGGGAACTCAGCACAGGGATGGTGGGGGCTCCTCATAATGGGCACAGCGGGGGTACAGACCTGGGAACTCAGCACAGGGATGGTGGGGGCTCCTCATAATGGGCACAGCGTGTGTACAGGAATTTGGTTTGGACGGGTGTGTTTCCCATGATGTGACCGGTCATATGTCTCCCCACAGCTGCCTATAGACATCACCACCCTCACAGAAGAAGAGCGGAAGGTGCGGCAGCGTCTCCGCGACCAGAGCAAGAAGGGGAAGGTGAAGGAGGAGAAGGACATTTACCCCGACATCAGCTTAGACGAGTACAAGAAGTTCTGGAAGAAAAAATAAACCCGATTCTGACCTGCGACGTGTAAATAAAATGTTCGGGACACAAACAAACAATAAAGATTTTTTTTTTTTTTATTCACATCAATTTTCTTTGTGTAATAATTTTTATGTAACGTTCATGGTGTACAGCGCCATGGTCTATGTCAGGGCTATATATATATATGTATAATGATAGTGTGTGACTGTGTGGGGGGGACATTAGAGTGTAAGCTCCTCTGTACAGAGACTGATGTGACTGTGGGGGAGGGGACATTAGAGTGTAAGCTCCTCTGTACAGAGACTGATGTGACGGGGGGGGGGGGATTTG